TACAATAGACAAAAATCTCTGCTTTTACAGCACTTTTATTCTAGAGGAAGAAGACAGAATATACAATACGTTAAGAGGAAATAATGGATATGAAGAGAAAAGAAAGTAGGGTAAAGGATGTGGATAGGGTTTCCAGATTTAGGAAATAAAAATACAGAAGACGAAATTGAACTTCAACTTTAGATAAACAAAATTTTTTTTAGCATACATTTATCTCAAGTATTGCATGGGACATAGTTATGTTAAATTTATCTGGGTGAGAAGGGTGAAGGGATTAAGCAAAGAAAACAAAAAACAAAGCCTCGTGGACATAGACACAGTATGGTGACTGCCAGGGAAAAGGGGTGGGGGAGGTAGAAGAGCCTAAAGAGGGATAAATGGTGATGGAAGGAGGCTTGACTTGGGGTGGTGCACACAATATAGTATACAGATGATGAATTAAAAAATTGTATACCTGAAATCTATATAATTTTATTAACCAGTATCACCTCAATAGATTCAATAAAAAAATATTTATCTGCAGTTCAAATGTAACTGGCCATCCTGTATTTAATCTTGCAACTCTAGATTTGGGGAGTATCGTGGTGACGATAAAATTTCAAATGGGATGCTTTGTGTAGTAGGGCTCACATTTGAGCAAGGACTTGGAGTAAAGAAGCCAGCAGCCATGCAAATATTTGAGGGAAAATAATTCCAGGTCTGGAAATGTGCCTGGAGTATTTGAAGAATGGCCGGAAGGCTGTGTGGCTAGAGTAGAGTGAGTCAGAAGTGAAGAGAGAAAGGTAATGAGGGTTGGAGTGTCTTGTAGATTCTGTTAAGACCATTTTGGCTTTTACTCCCAGTGAAAGGGGAAGCTGCCGAGGATTTGGAGCAGAATAACATGATACAGCATTTTAAAAGGATCACTTTGGCTGCTGGTTAGCAAGCTCCTGCTATATTTCAAGGGAAAGATGACAGGGATTTGTCCAGGGTTGACAGGAGAGGTGGGGTGAAGTGACTAGATTCCGAATATATATATAAAATTTTATTTTTTTAAAATAAATTGTTCACATTATTTTTACTTAAAATTTCTAATGTTTAAATTTTTATTTTAATTATATTCATTATCTGTTAGATGTGGTATGTAAAATGATTTTTCCATTTACAGTAGTGGTATATAAAAAGTTATATATAAAGTTTATATAAAAAGTTGCTTTTAAAAATATCAACGTAGTGCAGTTAGTACAATAAAATCTTTAAAAAGTAACCTTTGAAAATCACTGCAATAAAGCCAAAGCCAACAAGTAATGGTTATAATTAGAAACTTGGCTTTTAAAAATAAAACAAAAGCCTCCCCATTACCTACTCTTAATTTTTTTCTGAATATATTTTAATTAATTTTTAAAAATCCTCACCCAAAGCTGGTATTTCCATTGCTTTTTAGAGAGAGTGGAAGGAGAGAGAGAAACGTCGAGAGAGGCACATCGGTTAGTTGCCTCCTGCACATGCCCTGAGTGGGGCCATAGATCAAGCCTGCAAGCGAGGTGGGTGCCCTTGGCCAGAATCTAACCTGGGACCCTTCAGTCCGTGGGCCAACACTCTACTGAGCCAAACCAGCTAGGGCTGAATATATTTAAATTTTTAAAAAATACATGTTTTCATTGATATCTGAGAGACAAAGGGAGAGGGGGAGAGAGAGAAACATCAATGATGAGAATCATTGATCACTTGCCTCCTGCACACCCCGTACTGGGGGGATCAAGCCCACAACCTGGGCATGTGCCCTGATTGCGAATCGAACTGTCACCTCCTGGTTCATAGATCGAGGCTTAGCCACTGAGCCATGCAGGTCAGGCTATTTTAAAGGTAGAGCCCACTAGATGTCCCAATTTACTGGCTGTGGAAGAAGAAAGGAAGAAGGAAGTTGAAATGACGTAAGATTTTGGTCTACTACTGACGGGATAGAGGATTGTACTGAATTGAAAGAGACTATTGTAGGAACAAAGGGTTTTGGGGGTGGGAGGGCAGGGAGGATAGGGAAGTGAGGAAGGACAACTGGGAGTTTGGTCTGGAGCCTGTTAAGGTTGAGATGTTTAGCACACGTTCTGGTTTGGTCATAAGCAACTCCAAACTTAATGGCATAAACCAACCATTTTATTATCCTCAGAGATTCTGTGGGTCAGGAATTCGGGCAGGGCACAGCTGGATGGCTTCTCTGTTTCATTATGTTTCAGGCCTCTGATGGGAAAATTCCAGTGGTAGGGGGCTGAAATCTGATCTAGCACCTGAACTGAATGACTTTGAAGTCTGGGCTCAGGAAGACTGTTGTTGGAAGTACCTATCATGGCCTCTCCATGTGGCTTCGGCTTGTCTGCGCATGTTGACGGTCTCAGGGGGGCCCTTGGAGAATGAATATAACAGAAGACTGTGCAAAAGGCATGATTTTTTTTTTTTCTTGACCTGGCCTCTGAGTCATGCAGTGTCACTTCTGCCACATTCTGTTGATTACAAGCGACTCATAAAGCCAGCTATGATTCTGGGGGAGAGGAATTTAATGGGGAAGTGACAAGTGGGCATTGTGGAAGGTCATGTGGGATTCAGGAGATACTGTTGCAGCTATCTTTGGAAGAACACAGCCTGCTGCAACATCTGGAGGACATGCCGACTTAGCACTTGCATACATACGACTTTGGAGGTTAGGGCAGAAATCTGGCCCGTATGTGTAACTTACAAGTCATTGTCATACAGATGTCACACACAGCCCTGAGACTGGCTGAGATGATGAAGGAAGTTAGAGTAGACTGAGAAAAGGTACAAGAGCAGGGCACTGGGGTAACTGGAACAATGTTCAAAGGTTAGAGAAAAGAAAACCAGTAAGAGAGACATCAGTAACCAGTGAGATAGGAAGAAAATGTGTGATGTCCTGGGATCAAAGTTAAAAGGTATTTAGGTGTTTTCAGGAATAAGGGTCAAGTTGATGGGTCAAGAAAGATTGAGACTGAAAATGGGCCATTGGGTTTAACAATATGGCGGTCACTGATAACCTGGTCAGGGGCAGTCTCAGTGACAGTGAACAGGGGCTCGAGGGGGCTTAAAGTGCCCGGAGGGGAGGAATCCGAACAAGGAGTATAACCAACTCCTTCAAGGAATATTGTTGTAAAGAGGAGTGGAGAAGGGGGGGGATAGCTGAAGGTGAAAGCAGGGAGGTGACTTCTTTTGTAAGATAAGAGATGAGCTAGTGGAAAGGGCAACTGATGGGGGTGAAGGAGTGGTGAACTGCTGGAGCAGTGTCCTATGTAGGTGAGGAAGGTCGAGCGCCCCACTGTGACTTGAGTTGGCTACCCCGAGGGGAAGGCAGAGTGTGTGAGCACAGGTGCTGGAGGAGGGTAGATGCGACGCTGGGATTTTGAAGTTCTTTTGATTACTTCAGTTTTCCCACACTGGATGGCTTTGAAAATTAAATGAGTTTTTTCCTCTAAAGTACTTATAATAGTTGCTGGCACATAAAGTTAATATAGTTTAGTCTTTTAAGTGGGGTTTTTAAGATAATGTTTTATTGAAGAACAGCATACACAAATCCGCAAGTAAGTGTATAGCTCAACAAATTATCACAAAGTGAGCACTCAAGAAATAGAACATTAGTGGCATCTAGTTGGTTTTAGTTTGTTTTGCCTCGTTTGCCCTTAAATGTCTTCAGTGCAGAAAATAGAAAACTAGTCATCCCTGTTGGGATCCAGGATATTTTTGAAAATTTTCTTGGCCTGTGAAGTCCAAAAGTCTGGTAATATGTTTACCACCAAGGACTCCAGTAAACCTTACTGAACCATTCTTCTGCTGGAGAAAAGAAAAAAAACCTATTCCCAAATGAACTATAAGTTTCTAGAGTCATGAGAAAATTTCTAAACTATGACGTGACGCCAGTTCCTCGAGCATTCTTCCAATCATCTGCCTAAATGAGTGACTGTACTCATATTATGAAAACCCAATATGTTTAAAGAATTTAAAATTTTTGAAGATGCTTCTTGCCCTCTTTAGTTAACCACACATTCACTGAGAGTAGTCATTTAACTTTTTTTTTTTTTTTGCCTTTTTCTGGAAGATAACAGATCTTTCCCCTTACAATGTCTCTCCAATCCAGTTACTTATAATGTTAATAAGAAGATGATGGTATGACCACTTCCTAAGACAATGTGTTGTTGGTCACTTACTCTATGTTGATAGTGATTATCTGAATTCTTTATTTCTCTTCCTAGGATTTAATTCACAAAATAAAATGGGAGAATACTTAGCTGCTGTACTTTTCTTAGGGAGGTTCTTGTCTTAGGCTTTTGCCTAATTACTTTGTATGTTTCCTGTACAGGACCTCTAATACAAACGCACATGCTAGTGCACACACACAAACCCTGTAATGATGGTAATTGTATATTAGCTGAAAATTGGTGTTTGGAAAAGCCTGCCTTTTTAAAAAAATCCTCACTTGATATTTTTTTCCATTGATTTTCAGAGAGAGTGGAAGGGGGAGCGAGAGAGAGAGAGAAGCATTGATGTGAGAGACACATCAATTGGTTGCCTCCCACACGTGTCCCGACCAGTGCCAAGGATCAAGCCTGCAACTGAGGTACGTGCCCTTGGCCAGAATTGAACCCGGGGCCCTTCAGTTTGAAGGTTGATGCTCTAACCACTTAGCCATATATTGGCCACGGCTTGCCTGCCTCTTTTTAAATTGAGGGCACTTTGTCTGCAGCACTTAGTCTGTACGTTTTACTTGTGATCGCCCTCATTTTAGTGTTTAGTTTTCTGGGCAAGCTGCCTAGTTTGATTTTATTTTACTGTTTGCAGCATCCGGATTGTTAAGAGCAGCCATTTCGTAGTGTTGAGAGAAAGCAGTGCTTGCTCTATCTTGTGCTGTTTAATGATTGGTATTTAATGAGATCTCCTAGAAAACCAGTTCTCCACCCCCAGGGAAACCTATAACTCCTGTTCTCATACGCAAGTTAGGAAGAAAATACGTAGATGTTTTTGGAAGTTAACTTTATTATATGAAGATAGTATACAAAATACATTCATAGTGACTAAATATAAAGAACCAAATGATGTCTGATATCTGCAGCATACATTCTTGGTTTGTATAAAAGTAACTTCAAAATTCCAGTTTCCTTAAATAGTTCTGCACAAAACACATACACACGCATATATATACATAGAGTTACTACCACTGTCAGTCAAAGATGCACTCCTTCTCCAGTTAACTGAAAGGGGCTGGCAAATAAGCTTCGTGTTTGATATTCTTACAAGCTGGGAAGTATAGGTCTAACCCAGGACGTGATGCCAGCTCCCCGTGTCCTGCAAATTATTTGCCTAAATGAGCGAGGCCTAAGTAACGTTTTTCAGGATTTGGACAGATGTTGCATGGGCTCCGATAAGGTGTGGGCATCATTTCTTAGATAAACGAGACCTACATTTGCATGTGGTCTGTCCCCTTCCACCCCTGCGCTTCCACTTAGCTCACAAATCCTGAAAGGAAGTGCTGGTTCTCTCCTGGTCACTGCCAACCATTTTTGTCACAAGTGACAAATGATTCTAACAACACCACCAGTTAGCGTTTCAATTTCTCAGTGCTGTTGTAACGAACCTGCCTACGGCAAGCACCGTGCAACTACCCATAGTACACATTCCACAAGCTCCCATTTTCCTTTTTGTGTCAAGACTCCAGGCGGGAACCTTTCTTGACTGACAGACTCATGCAGGCTACAAGCCTGAGTCTGCGTGAGAAACTGAATGACGGTGCATCTGATTCCTATGCCTTTCAGTGAGATGGCTCTACTAAGGTCTCAGTGATTAAGAATGGGATTATTGAATTCAGGGCATTATACATACAGCTAAGGTTTTTCCTGGTTTTCACTAATTGCTGGATCCTTAACCTGATTTGAAAAAACTAGAGAATTGAGTGAGGTCTTTTTACCTTCCCTGGGTCTAACCTCTTGGTCACCTGGTTTACGCTACCGCCAGCTGTCACCGGTGCTGTTCGGGTAAAGAGGAGGAAGGGCAAAGCTCCCCCGCCCCTTGGCTCTTGGCGGAGAGGCCCGACTCCCTGCTGCGCCGGCCGGAGGCGCCGCCGTCTCCCTGGGGCTGTGCTGAATCCCCATCTCTCCACACAAAGAACCCTGAAGACTGACACGGGGAAGTCGCTTCTCTTACTTGTATTTCAGGTTCTAGAGTCAGGTCACGTGCACTGGGAACCGTATCTTCTCTACCGGAAGCAGCAGTTCCCTGTTGCCTGTCCAGCTCTGACAGGCCCCGAACATCCTAAATACAGAGCGTCAAACAGCCCGGCAGGCGCAGGGCCCTTCGCCCTGAAGCGTGGCAGCCTGTGTACCCCGCTCCCTATTTCTGTCGTCCTCAGGCCAAGGCAAGGTCCAAGGCAGATGCAAAGAGGCTTTTCTCCTATTGATGGCTGATAAATGTCCTGAGTCCTGATTCCAGAAATATCTTACATATCACCTTTTTCTCAAGGAGCATAAAGTGCTTAATAAACCTTGGTTAAGGCTCTAACACATCTTCCCAGGAAACAGACTGGATAGTGGAACCCCCATTAAATAAAACCCCGACTCCTATCCATTGGGCCCAACTGCGGCAGTGCTGGCTGGGTTGGCACCGGGGCTTCACTGGCCCCATCTGCCTGCCTTCTGTCCTAGTTTCGGTGGAGAGAAGGCTGCATTTTAATTCTCTTCACTTCCTTTTATAACTAACTGTACAAACGGGTTAATACAGAACATTGAGTTGTCTTCACTATACAGTAACACACAAAGTAGAATCTGGCGACCAGTCAGTGGCTCCAGTTAGCTTACTATGAGCAATATACTATATGCCCTGAACTAATAGGCCAGCTTAGCCCAGGGTAAGTGTTCAGTGTATCCTGCTAGAGGGGCCAGCAGTATGGGCTCAGATTTGAGCACCAGCCTCAGTGCTAGAAATAAAAAATGTGCCATATATGGGAATGGACAGAGAACCAGTTCTGTAGCTAATGTTTTAAAATGTGCTTTGTTGTTCCTTTCTTGCCCCCCAGAATCCAGGAAAGGTCCCCTCATCTATCGGTTCTGCCTGGGTTCTCAAATGGAACGGGTCAGGTAGGGTTTTGGAAGCCACTGGAGTGGCCTGGTTGGTAACCCTCTCTCACTCCTTCCACATGGTCCAGCTCAAATTCTTTCTTGTGCCCTGTCCTGTTTTTTTCTTCATTCCTCCCTTTCCTTCTCCTCCTTACACGTCATGAATGCTGGAGGGCCCCAGAGGCTTTCTTAGGCCAGCTGGGGACTGCTGTCCCTGGTTCCAGGGCTGCAGCTGCTGGCCCAGCATGGTCTGTGCAGCGTCACATGGTCAGCGTGTCTCCTGAATCGTCCCAGGCCTTGAGGCCTGGGGGTAAAGAGCAGGAAGTCTTTGGGCTTGAAAGAATTTCTCTAACACACTGAGTAATGTGAGGGTTTAGCAGTAGTGGCCTTTACTTGTCACCATTACTCTATCTGGGGTTACCTTCTTGTTAGTCAAAAGAAAAAAGCACTGTTAAAAATCACAGAAAGCATCTAGCCCCTGTGGAAAGGTAGAGGTGTAAATTTATATGTGTATAATACTGGCAGAAGCTTGTTTCCTGGGGTTATAAATATGCATGTGGTTCTAGAAATCAGGCTGTGTCACAGTTTAGACAGGTGGCGTGGAATATAAGACCACTGAGTTGTAGTCTGGGGGAGGAGAGCAGCATGAGACCTTTTCCAGCTCGGAGTTGTCGTAGGTAAATCTGCGCTTGCCTCTGTTGATGTGCCCACAGCCAGGATGGCAGAATGTAGGCCTGGTGAGGTCAGAAAGCCCCGACTCCTTACTCTTACTGGTTACTCTCAAGCTAAAGAAAAAAAAAACACATCAAATATACAAATTTAGTTTCTTGAAATCACACCAAAGTACATTTTTTTAAGTTAAAATTTTTTTTTTTTTTAATTTTAGAGAGGGGGTCGAAAGTGAGAGAGGGAAAGAGGGGTGGTGGACATCGATTTGTTGGTCCACTTATTTATGCATTCATTGGTTGATTCTTGTACGCGCCTTGACTGGGGATTGAACTTGCAACCTTGGTGTATCGGGACGAAGCCCTAACCAACTAAGCTACCCGGCCAGGGCTGAGTCCATTCTTCCTTAATCTGTCATTTGTTCATAACTGTCCTAGCGCTAATGGCTGCTGACTCCCACCTCAATCTCTGATCAGACTGTTCTAGAGCTGCACACTGCCTCTCTACTACCAGTTTCATGTCACTGGGCAAAGGGATGAATTCCCCTGCCTGGGGGTTGGACCGCGTGATGAGGTAATGCAAATCCATAATTTCAGGAGGAAAATAACTCCCAAGACTTGAGGATAGCTCTCCTCCACTCTTGGGTCAGTTAGCTACCATGATATGCTCCCCCAATTGTTGGTGCCAAATCCTTGGGATCTTAAGCTGAGGATCTTCAGAGGAGGAGCTTATCCTGAATTATCCAGGTAGACCCTAAATAGTCACGTGTATCCTTATACAAGAGGCAGAGGAAGATTTACAACCAGAGACACGAGGAGGTGATGTGAAGGTGGAGCAATTGTGGCCACAAGCCAAGGAATGCCTGGGGCCACCAGAAGCTGGCAGAAGCGAGAAATGAGTTCTCCCCCAGAGCCTCCAACACCTTGATTTTGGGCTTCTGGCCTCCAGAACTGCAAGAGAATAAGTTCCTAATTTTAAGCCACCAAGTTGGTGGTAATTTGTTACAATGGCCTCAAGAAACTAACAGAGCTTCATACAAAAAGGTTAGTGCATTTGTCTCCCTATCATGTTTGCATTCTAGAAGAGAAAACTAAGCGATGGGACTGAACTTCACTGACAGTCTCAAAGGGGAAGCAACTTGTTTTTGGGTCCTGCATCTTAAGTCCAGCCTAAGCCAGACACACAGGAAGAAAAGCTTCACTTGTCCTTTCATATTTTCTTTAATGGCTATGATGAGGGTGAAAGGACCTTGTACTGGTCACCACATTAGTTGGGCTGGCTCTGAGCTAGCCCGTCAAGAGTTTGCTCCATGTTCTGTATTTTTTTAATCCTCACATAAGAATATGTGAATCGATTTAAGAGAGAAAGGTAGAGAGAAAGAAACATGGATCAGATGCCTCCTGCAGGGTTCCTGACCAGGGTTTGAAGCCGCAACCCAGGTGTGTGCCACGACCAGGAATCGAACCTGCAACCACTTTGGTGCATGGGACAACGCTCAACCAACTGAGCCACTGGGCCAGGGCCCGTGTTCTGTATTTTTAGTCTCAGACTAGAAGATGCAATTAATGGCGTTCCTTTCTTTAGAAAGATATAGATAAACATTGCCACCCATTTTCTGAAGTGTTCCAAGGAAGGACACAACAGACCGTGGTATACTGCACCTTGCCACCCACTCCTCAGTGGTGTCCTCTAATGTGCTGTACCCTGAGTACGCTGAGGGTACTTAACTCTGGTACCGTTACTGTGCTTGTGGTAAAAGCAAACAAATGTGCCGATGTTTGTCTGGAAATATTCCTATCCAGCGGCTTGTGGTTCATGAGCTGTGCTATGTCGCTTGGAGGCATTTGTTGCCCTTTTAGATGAGGGTCAGCAAATCCAGCCTGTTTTGCTTATTTTTAAATGACAGCTTTGTTGAGATGTGATTGACATACTATACAATTCACCTATGTAAAGTGTACGGTCCGTGATTTTTTTGTACACACCCATCAGTATACCCAGCTGCCCCTCTTCCCCACGCCTCCCGCCCACAGCCTAGACACCACTGACCCACTTTCCATTTCTATAGACTTGCCCATCCTGGGCATGTCACAGAAATGGAATCATACAATTTGTAGTATTCTATGACTCGCTTNCACTATTCCATCCTGGGCATGTCACAGAAATGGAATCATACAATTTGTAGTATTCTATGACTCGCTTCTTTCACTTAATGTTTTCAGGGTTCATCCATGTTGTAGCATGTATCAGTACTTCATACTTTTTATTTTTAATAACTGTTCTATTTTAATGGATATGTAGCATTTTATTTATTCATTCATCAACTGATGGACATTTGAGTTGCTTCTACTTTTGGTTATTATGAATAATGCTGCTCTGAACATTGGTGTACAAGTTTTTGTTTGGACATAGTTTTCATTTCTGTTGGGTATATACTAAGAAATGGAATGGCTGAGTTACAGAGTAACTCACTTAACATTTTGAGGAACTGCTAGATTGTTTTCCAAAGTGGCTGCACTATTTTGCATTCCCACCAGCAGTGCACAAGGGTTCTAGTTTCTCCCCATCCTCACCAACAGTGACTTTCTGATTCTAGCCCTCCCAGTGGGTGTGAAGGGGTATCTCATGTGGTTTTGATTTGTACGTCCCTGATGACTAATGGTGCTAAGCATTTTTTCATGTGCTCATTGGTCAAGGCCACCTGTTTTTAAAGTTTATTGGCATGCAGCCACACCTCCTTGCGTATACACTGTCAGAGCTGCTTTCATACTACACTGACAGAGTTCAGTAGTTGTTTACTCTCTGGCCCCTTGAGGAAAAGTCTGCTGACCCCTCACTTAGATGAAAGAGAAGCAGGTTCTGCCTGTGGGTGAGATGGGCAGGCACGGGAACCAGGAAAGGAAGGAATGACTGACAGGCCTAGCCCCGCCCTGCCCAGCACTGTTCCTAGGTAGAGACGAGCATGGAGAAGCTGAAGTGATGCAGCCCAGTGGAGTAGAGAGCAAGGGCCTAAGTAATTCTGCCAGTAGTAGTTGCTGGCCACTGTGTGGAAGGAGGAGTGCCAGGATCAAACAGGAAGCAAGCCCTCACTTGAAGGGTTGGTTTCTCAGGATTGCAGGTCCTAGGGCTAGAAAGCAGCACTGTGACCCTTCTGGTGCTGGTGCTCCCCCTCCCCCTCACTCCCCCAGCCCTGGTAATGGCGTGGTTTCTCTCCCCCCACCCCACAGCATATCTGATGTTGGCTCTGTTCACAGTCGGGCAGGTCAGGCTCCTTTCACCCGAGGCACTGTGCTGCCTGTGTTTGGACTGCCTGTCTGCTGGAATTGTCTGCATATTTTCTCTTCTTAAACCCCAGTCTTCCTTCCCAGAGCTTGGTGCTCATGTGTCTGATTTTATGTTCTCTTTCTTGCCCTTCTGAGGGGAAAAACATGTTTTCTGTAATGCCTGAACACTATGGTTCAGGGGGGTCAACTAGCTCTCAAATATCCCCATTAAGGCATCTCCCGCAACTTCCTTTATCCCTCTGTCGCCCAGTAGAGGAAAGGGTACCCCGCTTCCTTACTCAGTCTTCAGTGAGGTCTTGGGTTTGCTCTCAGTCCAGGTGAAGCGCTTCAGCCAAGGAGTGGCCAGCAGAGCGCCACTGTCCACTGGGTAACCCTGGCAGGAAGGAGGAGGAAGGTTACACTTCTGGCTTGATCCACAGGGGTCCACACCAAGTCTCACTCCAGGTCTATCCTCACCTTCCACAATCCCTGCCCACTAAGACAAAGTGTTTTCTCCATACTGGAAAGTCTAAGCTTAGCTGTAAGAAATGCCTACTCCCAGTGATTGTGAAGCCCTTCTTCCTGAAGGTGCAGAAAATAAAACAAAAGGGGAACCTGCAGGGAACAGATGAGCATTTTTCATAGTAAACTTCTATGCAAATTACTGCATAAATACATTAAAACTTATTCTGGCAGATGACTATTAGCTATGAGAGTGCTGTTATTTGATGTCCATGATATGAAGAAATTCTGAGAAATTATAAAGACATAGCTTAATCTTTTTCTTGAAGACTGGAATTTTCAGGCCCCCCTTGGTCATGGTTTTCAGCAGTCCTGTTTTCTTGTTGGTTCATCTGTAGCAGTGAGTTTATGCAGACTCCTCACTACTCTATTCATACACCATTTCCAGTAAGTGGATTCCATACTTTGTTCCTGTCACCTTTTGAATCTGTTGGGCTGTGTTCATGTCCTCAATTATCAATAAACAGGCCTAAGCCAGCAAAGAAGCTGCCGTAGTTCCCAGTGTGTGGGGGTGAGGTGGATAAGGTTGAGAGAAATCTTCCACGTCTGCTCAGTGTTATTTCCTTGGACCTAAAACCTATGTACTAAACAGCAAAGCAAAATTTCCAGCTACTTTGCTTTTGTATTCTGGGCTTCTTTGTAATGTTTTGGAGTGTTTAAATCATCTTTTCTTCTTTATCTGGTGTGTTTGAAGAGGTTTTGGTGTTTTTACAGTGACTGTGCAACATCTCAAGGCCACACTGTTTGTAGTTGTTGCTTCACACTCTAGTTGGTTTTCCAGGCCTTTGTGGGACATGGTCATCACCAGCACTTCTCAAACTCTAACCTGCATGTGAGTCCCCTGGGGATCTTGAGACCATGCACGGTGAGGCTCAGTAAGTGTGGGTGGGTCCTGAGAGCCAGCATTTCCGCCCACTCACTGGAAACAGTGCATGTCTGGAGATCACAGAGTGTAAGGGTGATACCACAGGGGCACTCTTGCCCAGCATTCCCTCTCCTCCCCTATTCTCTCAACCCCAGGTTCCAGAGCTTTCAAGAGACAGTGAGCCATCTTGGGTGCCAGGCTGCATGGATTGCTCCTCCCAGTGCGGCTAGGTAGGAACATGGCTGTTCAGCCTCTAAGACCTTAGTGGGAAGGAGCATAGGCCCAGATAGACTTCTTCCAGGTTCTCAGGCTGCTCTGAAGAGAGAGTTCTCCATTATATCACAAAGGCCCAGCCACTCACAGGTTTGAGATCCTCTATTCCTCTGAAAAGAGGGTTCCATCGTTGGTAGTCAAGAGGCTTGAAAGCACACAATGAAGTTTCCTAAGGGACTAAATTATGACCAGGCAAGGACTTGGTCCCTGGAGTGAATTCTGGGTCATGTCCAAACTATGGATTTACCTGCTTTCCAACAAGCTCTGTATAACTGTGTTGTGGTCAATCCCCCTGAAATTGCCATTTCAGCCACCACTCATTATGGCCTGCACTGATTGAAAGCCACCAGACTACTAAACCAGGGTTTGGATGGAGTCTGGCAAAGGGTCTTGCCAGAGTGCATTGAGTAGGTTCATTCCATTACTTACATCAAGCATGGAAGTGACATTTGGTGGAAGTTCTTCAAAGGTTTTGATTCTCTCCAGGCTCATGAAATTGAAAGCATTTACATATCTAATGAAGAAGCAGAAAGAACAATCAGGACAGGAAAATGCACCCAGTGTTGGTTAGTCAGGAGACCATGGGCACCGTACCCCAGCAAAGATGCACTAAAATGCCAGAAGGAATCACCTTACTCCTGAGACTAAAGTTCCCATTGGGGTCCTGGCAGTGATGCCACATCCTCCCATGGTTGTTAATCCACATTTCATAGTTTTGAGCAAAATCCCAGAGGATCTTGAAAGACTCAGCAGTGGTTAGACCTCTCTGGCCCCTTGTGGAATCAGAAAACGTCAGGCGTAGAAGAGACCCGAGCCATCATCTAATCGAAACACCCTACATTACAAAGGAGAGGAAATAATGGCCGGAGGAGTGATGTGACTTTATCATGTGGCTGCCTACTTCTAAAAGGATATGAGAGAACAAATGCAATGACCTGTTAGGGTCACACAGCTGATTTAATGACATAATTGAATACTAGAGCTGGTCTTGTATATTCTGTTCTGTGGTTACAGATTGGGAGAAATGGATAATATTTGTGTGATTTCCCTATAATTACCTCCTGACCTTTTGTTAGTGATCCATTAGGAAGGACTGCCAGAGATATCCACTATATGGTTACTCATAAGACAAGTTCACCTATTGATTTTCTCAGTCTAATACCCTGTCACCATCTGCAAGGCCTAGTTTCTGAGGCAAGCGCTCTATTGGGTCTAAGGCTAAGCAATATACTAGAAGGGCCCAAATAACTTTGACACTCCCCTCCCCCATCTCTGACCCAATCAGACCCTGCCAATTTATTTAATCCAAGCTAGTCTTCTCATCTTTAAAAAATGGATGACTCATCTGTCTCAGCTTCTTGGGCTGGCTGTGAAATATGAGCAGTGCCAGTGGCCTGTCACCTATTACCACAAATCTATTACCACTGGGCTTCTAGGCTGTCAATCTTTTCAGACTGTGCAGCTGTTCCAAATGCCTTCCCTGGTCTGCCTGAAGCAAGTTTGGCTGAACTTGGTCAGAGTCCTAGGGTTGTGTCTACTGCAGATAAAGATGCTAGAAGGCCCACAGGATAGTCAAAGTCCCAAAAGGAGTCCTGACTGCATGGGGATGGGGAGGGAGTATCAGAACACCTGGGTTTGTGTCTGTGACCATTACACTGAATGTGTACAGTACATGTATAACCATTAGTATGGAGGTGTCATACATGTGTAATCATCAGTACTAATTTATGATACATATGTAACAATTAGTAACATGTGTGACATATGTATAACTGTGAGTACTGAACATGTGTGATACACATGTACCCACCCAC